CTGCGATGGACTAGCATCCCATCCAGGGGGGAGTAGAAATACTCCTAGTCGCTTCATGCTACAGAAACCGGGATAAGCTGCGGCCTGATGGGCCACTTGCCTCCCATGCAGACTTTACCTTACCTACCTTATGGACCTCGACTGTCGGTCCATAAACACGCGAAAAAGAACTTGGCCAAATACTAGCCATCTTGACCACACGCCTGATCAATAACCTCTATTTTTCAGACCAGACGAGGGGTGGCACCGGGAACCGTTGCGTGACTTCGGCCCGTCACGGGATTTACACGCCTCATGTTTTCAATCTTCCCCAACTCACGTGAAGCATGACTAGATATTTATTCCGTGTGTCATATAAACCAGCTAGATGTTTACAGCATGCAAGGAGGAGTGGTTGATTTACAATAACCTTGCAGCTTCGAAGCATCTAAAATGGCTGATCTCGAGTCAACGAATGGCGGTTTAGAGAAGCGTGAATGTTCACTCTCGTGTTCCATTCAATCTGAGCGAAACAAAGACAAAGAAAGAATTCGCAGAGCAATTCTAGCCACTTTTATTGCTGCCCTTGGACCGCTCGGCTTTGGGTACTGTGTCGGTTATTCATCCTCTGCGTTAGAGGATTTAGCAAGTGAATCTGCTGCTGTACGGTTAAATGACATACAGGGCTCCTGGTTTTCGGTAAGTTTGATCTGGTTCTACTGTGTATCTTATTATTTTGAGCGAAATCACTGAGCAGACCCGTGAATGAAGCCCGGGGGGAGGACTCCCATATGGAATGGACGGGGATGCTCGTCGTCTCGCTTAGGGGTGTAAATTTCGNAGCATTGTGTGCCCTGCTTTGGTTAAGAGGCCCTGATGCTGACATCGAAGAAGAATGCGCGGCAATCGAGGAAACGTTTGGTGAGTCCAATCTTCCACCAGGGTTCTTGCCCGGGGGGAAATCTTATATAAAAAGGACAGGAGCGCTCGTCGGAAATTTTGAAAAGAACCCCTAAGAGGTACCAAGATCCTGTTTTGTGGGCGTGGCTTGGAATTTTTTTTAGCCCCCGAGAGGTATCAATTCTAAAACAACACATTATCTCCTGTCATAAGCAAAAGCTCCCGCTGTGATCCTTTTGAGACTGAACACTCTAAGAGTTACCAGAGCTGCTTTTTTAACCCCTAAAAAGTACGAAGAGCACCCCCGTCCTTTTCATATGGGAGTACCCCCGGGCGATTTTGAGACGCCGTATTCAGGGGATTTAGCGTCTAATCGTTAATTTTCAATTTATCTACAGTCCTTATTTCCTCTTGGTGCCATTTTTGGAGGTCCCATTGGTGGATGGGCGATAGACAGATTAGGTCGGAAGGGCACCATAATGCTCTGTGTCATTCCTTTTGAACTGGGATGGTTACTCCTCGCCTACGGCCAGAACCGTGGCATGCTGTACGCTGGTCGTGCCATCACGGGCTTAGGTTGCGGTATAGTCTCACTTGCTGTTCCGGTAAGTTTTGACGTATTCTGTGCATGTTCAGCAATGTTATTGTAATGGATGGCGTGGTTACCATGTGGGGGAGGGAGACGGGGAGGTTTTTTGCCCTCTAAGGACTACTCGAGCCAACAATGTTGATAACAGCATGTATCATTCTAAGGTGAACTAATAATGGTACAGACGGTTACCAGAAAACTGAGAATGGTAAAGTAGTAATATTATTACTAAGTATACCCGTGCTAAAAAAGATCTTTTCTAATCAATATTACAAAGGACTTCAAAATGATGTAGAAAGAACACGACAAAATCCAACTAACCCACCCAACCAGAAAGAGTTTATCCCAATAGAGCACGACCTAAGCGATACAAATAACCCTGACATTTAACTCATGTGTCGCACCTGTTCTTAGGTTTACGTTGCTGAGACTGTATCTGCACGGATTCGTGGTGCATTAGGTTCTGTTTTCCAACTAGCAGTGACAGTCGGCATTTTATTGGCATACGTAATGGGTGTCCTGTGCAGGTGGAGGTGGGTGGCATTCGTAGGAGCAATTCCTTCAGCATTACTTCTCTTCCTGATGTGCCCCATGCCAGAGACACCTCGCTGGTACCTTGGAAAGAACAGGAGAAGTGAAGCATTGTGTGCCCTGCTTTGGTTAAGAGGCCCTGATGCTGACATCGAAGAAGAATGCGCGGCAATCGAGGAAACGTTTGGTGAGTCCAATCTTCCACCAGGGTTCTTGCCCGGGGGGAAATCTTATATAAAAAGGACAGGAGCGCTCGTCGGAAATTTTGAAAAGAACCCCTAAGAGATACCAAGATCCTGTTTTGTGGGCGTGGCTTGGAATTTTTTTTAGCCCCCGAGAGGTATCAATTCTAAAACAACACATTATCTCCTGTCATATTTTTTTCGGCTCAATACCCTAAAAGGTACGGCAAAAGCTCCCACTGTGGACCTTTCGAGGCTGAACACCCTAAGATCGAGGTAACAAAACCGCTTTTTTAACCCTAAAAGGTATGACGAGCACCCCCGTGCTTTTGATATAGGAGCCCCCTACCCCCGGGTTGTTGATCACCCTAACACAAGGTTTACAGGAAGGGGTTTTTTTTTTTCAAGATAATAAAATTTATCGTCTGGTCCAAGGAAATTTACGCATTTCCTGTCAAAGTCTGAGAAAAGTCAAGGAGTATTATTTTGAGCTTGCTGCAACACAGGCTTCCTAAGCTCAAAATACCTGGTGTATGCGACAGCTTTTGTATATAGAGAATTTCATGTGAAAATCACCAATCGTAAAATAGATGTGTAAATAACTATCTCATTTGAAATAAAGTTTTCCTTCCTAAAATGTGTCGCGTACCTGTCTCTTGTGCCGATTTTAAAGCCATTCTGAAGCCGTTTAGTGAAGTTATTGAAAACCGTTGTTTCTCCTTCAAAAAGACTAAACGGCGTGAGAGTGGCTTTAAAATCGGCACAAGAGACAAGAACGCGACACATTTGAGGTAGGAAAACTCTATTTCAAATGAGATAGTTATTTACACAATTTTTTTTTTACGATCGGTGATTTTCCCATGCAATTTTGTATATACACAAGCTATCACATACACCACGTATTTGGAGCTTGGGAAGCCTGTGGCTACAGGTTTTGGTGACATGTGTGTCTGTAAGGGTTAACCCTTACAATTATATTTGAGAGCTTACCAACGTTGATTCGATCAGTGATATTTAGGCTAATCTGAGCTCTTTTAAGCCATACTTTTGTCATTCAATAGAAACACAGAACCTACACAGGCAGTTGACGTAATGATGGTGAAGCAAAGAGAGTTAATTTATAGTTTGATCATGAACCAAAACAAACCGGTAGTTTCCTGTCTTTTTAGCTTGGTTTTCACTACGACCGTAAGCCCAAGCACAAACATAAGCATAACGGTAGTGAGGACACAAACAACAAAGGCATAAGCACAAGTACAAGCAGACCAAAACGTTTTTGCTCCTCTTGTGCTTTGATTATGCTTATGTCAAGTAGGAATGCGCTTCTGTAAGCATAAGCATGGCCGTAAGTCCGCCATCTTGTTTTGCTGTTTTGAGGAGGTATGGAACTGAAAATAGGGCAACCATCCATTCTGCGCACGTCTACGTACTTTTAAAGCTTGTGTTTTGGCCGTCCTCACTAGGTTTATAATTTGCTCAGTTGTGCTTTTGTTTTAGTGATAACCGGACTTAAGCTGTAAAGAGACTATCATGGTTGAGCGATTTGTATTTTCTTTGATAAAGAAAAAATTATCGTAGTAATTAATTAGTTTTAATTATTTTTTGACAGAGAGTCATGAGCGCCTTCAACTGCGTGATTTGTTATCACCAGTGATAGCAAAACCCCTGATAATTAGCACTGGTTTAATGGTTGTCCAACAATTTTGCGGAATCAATGCAGTGCTCTTTAATGCTGCATCCATCTTCGGAACGGCAGGCTTCTCAAACGGAAAACTTGCCACCATTGCAGTGGGCTTGGTTCAGTTTGTGGGTACAGGTCTGGCCTGTTTGCTTATGGACAAGGCGGGACGTCGGATCCTGCTACTGACCACAGCACTTGGGATGTGCGTGTCTCTTCTGGCGCTTGGTGTTTATTTCGAAATCTACATCCCTCCAACAACACCACCACCACCAACGGATGAAAGCTTGGCTAGTGACACGGTCTCCCAGCTGGGTTCCATAAGTCATTCTGTCCCAGCCAAAACAATTTCCTGGCTGTCCATCTTGTGTATTGTTCTGTTCAACCTCATGTTTGCCATCGCGTGGGGACCAGTCCCATGGCTTGTCATGTCAGAAATATTTCCCCTGCGAGCACGTGGCCCAGCGAGCAGCTTTGCAACTCTGACCAATTGGACAATGGCTTTTATTGTTACCATGACATTTAAGTCCATGGTGGCTACGCTCACCAATCAAGGCGTCTATTGGTTTTATGCCGGGTTCTGTTTAATGGGATTCATTTTTGTTTTCTTCCTTATGCCAGAGACAAAGGGGAAAACCTTAGAGGAGATAGAAGCTATGTTTGACAAAGGTAAAGGCTATCAGGAAATTAAGTGAAAATTGTTGAATTGTTTTTAAATACCTTATTTATTGAATACTTTCACGAAGCAAGCTACAGTCGAATGTATATTATTACAGACCCCTCATCTAGGATGGCACTGTTTCTACTGAAGGAACATCTCGGTTCAGTACGCATCTTGAAAAGTTTAGCCTACATTTTTCAAGTTCATCGTTAGTAATCCGTGACAATCTTCTCCATCCTGGATCATCCTTGTTCCTTTATGGTTTATTAGTAACTATTAAAGGTATCGAAGTAAACTATTATTGTCAGGTTTCCTTCAATTAAAGCTAATTTTAGACGTGGCCAAAATTACTCAAAATACCGTGACTGAGCTCCATTAAATAGCTGGGAAGTCTAAGTTATCTCGGTGAGAAAGGTGGGAGTCAGTGTTCCCACTTTTTGCAATGACATATCAAAGTTTATAGTGTTTTATCTTGTGATAGATCAATGCTCTAGAAATTGTTTCTAATTTGTTTTTATTTCAAAGCAGTACACTCATCTGATGGAGGTGCTTTGCCTAGTTTTGGGCGTTTTTAAACGCGAAATGACAAAATGCCACTATGGCTAAGAGTCAATGTGGGATACGAGTGTCTCAGTAACCTGGGTTAATCCTTAAACTTCAATTGAGAGCTAACCGCTGTCGGGTCAGTGATATTTAGACTTAAGACTAACGACAGTGTCATTTTGTCAAGTCGCCATTTCGTGATGTAATTTTAAACACGCCCCTTAGTTTAAAGGGGATACTACAGAAAATTAGTATGCTTTTTAAGGTGCCGTAATTTGCCAAGCGGCGGCCCAAACTGTAAAACATCTTTGATTCCAAATAAAACATCAGTGATCTGGAGAGGTCTGTTCCATCTCAGTTTAGCTCCAAAAGTAGAGAGGTTGAGTGCCATCTTGGACTCAAACGCGGAAGAGGCTTGGGGAGAAACTTGGCGTGTCCACCCCTTTCCCGCCCACTTTTCCTGAGCCAACATGGCGGCGAGCCTGTGTCACTCGCGGCGCGGCCGCCTTCCCCGAAAGAAAAAATTGGAGAAGGCATCTCTACGATTGTCTTCTTTCGGGAAGGGTGGACGGAAATAATTTGATGCGTTTGTCGGAGGGAAAATTCTCCGGTGGACGAGGCCTGAGAAAATTATTTGCAACATCTGTGAGGTGACGTCATTACGTCACCATGGCTCGAGGTTGGTTCGCGATCGCCTCGCCTTATCACGTGACGATGGCAGGAAAATGAGTTTTATTTCGCAAACCTGTAGGTTTTGCGGTAAATCGTGTAGCTTTGAAGCATCTTACAGTTGATCAAAATGGTTGTTTCCGAGTTAGACAGCGAATACAATCCTTCGAGTTCCGTTCAATCTGAAGGAATGGCAGGAAAGGACAGAATAGGAAGAACAATTCTTGCCACTTTCATCGCTGCTCTCGGCCCGCTTAGCTTCGGGTACTGCCTTGGATATTCATCTTCTGCTTTAGAGGATTTAGAAAAGGCCAATGCATCTTCTGCCGTTCGTTTAACCAGTGCTCAGGGTTCCTGGTTTTCGGTAAGTTTGTTCTGTTCATCATGTTCTAGTCCGCGTATGAAAGTTTTGTGATGAGCGCGCTTTTCGATTGCAGAATTCGCGCGCGGATACTCGTTTAGTCTTCAGTCCGCAAAATTACATGCTTAGGGAACGTCTTACACTGTAAACGTCGTAATGAATACGGTAGATAGTTTCTTTATAACGGTATCGGTGGTTGGGTTTTGCGTAATTAAAATTTTATGATTATGAAAAGATAAAAGTTCGGAGAGATCATGACACCATACGGGAGAGTACAAAACATAGACCCTTGGTCCTGTTCATGGACTGGGTCCATCAAAATATGGACCGGATCCTTGGACCCCCTTTCATGGACCCCCTGTGTTCACTATTCCTAAAAATACTATAGATCTTCTTGCTACTTAATATCTGCTATATTCTTCTTAAGTGATGTAAATAAGATTTGAGTGGCAAATAAAGTTGAAACAATAATAAAATAAATAAAAATAAGTAAATTGAAAAAAAAAAATGAATTCACAATAATATTTCAATTTAATATTTAATTAATTTTGAACTTTGCAATTTTTCATAAAGTCACATTTTAATAGCATTTCTTTAGTATTCATCTACATGTAAAATAGAAAAAAGAAACATCAAAACTGTATAAGATAAAAAAACCTACAAGGAAACTCAAAGGAATCATAATAAAAAGAGCATTGCTTACTCTCGTCCACGTCGGCCATGTTTGATGCGCAAGAAAGCGTAGGTAAAGTCACATGGAAACATGAGCCAGCAATCAAGCATGCCAGCGGTCTTTGTTTATATGGGGTAGTAAAAAGAGGGGGTCCATGGACCCGGTCTATATTTTGATGGACCTGGTTCATGGACCTGGTCCACGGAGGGGGTCCATATTTTGTACTCTCCCGACACCATACCATCCGTAAGCTAGTTAAATGTTTTCCATTATCCTTGCCACGGTATTAGCAGTACCTGTACTTGTACTGATTGTATGTCTGATAGAAAGGTTTAATTTAAATCTTGTCATTAAACTCTCACTGGGTTTTGCATCAAACAAGGGTTTTTATTTATTTATGTAACAGATCCTTATATTGCTGATTTTTCCTTCTGTCCATGCAGATTTTTCTTCCACATTAATCATTCTATTATCCACAGGCTGATAGCCAGGATTTTTAATAGGGGTTTATATTATTAGGGGGATGGGGTGCATGAGATAGCCACAGGTGCTATTTGGCAAGCACTGTACAGTGAAACCTGTATTAAGCGCACCCCATATTAAGCGGACACCCTCTGTTAATTGGACACCAGCTTGACTCCCTAAATTTTCTTCCCACATTTATGGTAAAATAAAGCTGCATTCAGCAGACACCTCTGTTAAGTGGATGCGGACACCAATATTAAGCCATTTTGTTGCACAAAACCTGCAATAAGCGGAAACTTCAAGGACTTTTTACTTCTAAAGGTTCAGCTGAGACTCCTTTACAGTAACATTGTAACAAGTGTTGGTGTCAGATTTTTAATCTTGCAAGGGTCTTGTAGTCTCACAAAGTCTGGAATTTACATCTACCATTCCATCCCTCCGGCCTAGTTTCAAGTACTGACCTACAATCGAAGACAAAAGTCCTTGGGACACTTATGTAATGTAACGGATCATCTGTGTTTTAGAACTGAAGTATGAAGAAAACACTGCTATATCCTTTATAAACGGGTTGCTGTCCCCCCTCCCCCCCAACACAATGTTGAAAATCAGCTGAAATTGCATGTACTAGTTTTCAACATTGTATGGGGGGTGGGGGCGAGGTTAGGCAGGTGAAGTTGTATTCGCGCCTGGCGTGTATGCAAAAGCGCCAAAAGTGCAAATTTGTCCCAAGACTTTTGTCCATGATTGTCTGAATTTCAGTTCAGAAATAAAATGTCACTTTTCAGCGGTTTTCCACAGTCTAAATGTGTTTTCTCTTGACTCTGTGAATAGATCGTAATACAAAGATTATTTTTGGGCTATTTTGGGGTTTATTTAAGCTCATTTTTTTTTCTTTTCAATTTTTCCCAACGCAAACGCGTGGCGTAAATCGGAATTTGTTCTATCTCATACTCGCGCGTGCGGTATTTGAAAGGACACACATGGTTAACGCTCAAGGTAGCAACGAGCATAAGGCATTATAGATTATTGTGCATATGACAAGAATTTCTGTTGAACAGCGAGTAAAAGTCTTTTTTTTTGAAGGAAAACGGAAGGTTTTCACACTGGGAAGTCGCGCAGAAATGTCAAATCTCGAAGTCATCTGTATCATGTATATGAAACATGTAGTGAGCGGGCATCGTAAACTATAATTTGGTCAAAAGGGTACCGAACCAAATATTAGCAAGTTGTTTCCCACCAGTGGAAGTCATTTCCTTTAGTTATTTATGAAACAATATTGTGTGACATTTTTTTAGTGTTGTGGACACTCGTTATTTGCATAACTCAACAGTTCTCAGCAACAGTTCTCAGCAACAGTACTCACTTTAAAACCTTAAAATGTACCTACTTATATCCGAAAGCTCACATTTAAGACATGTTGAAGTGGAATGTGTTTGGTAATCGATCTTTCTACACCTTTATAGCTAGTAAAAACTTAATTTTGAGCTCTGCAAGCACAGTACTCACTTTCCATTTGTTAAGAATTGTTTAAAGTCAATTCTTCCATACTGAATCAAGTGAGTACCGTTGTATTTACTGCCAGCGTGCTGTGATGTGACTTTTGTGAAGTAATTTCGAAACAGTACCATAAATCTCGTGTTGAAAAGTAGTTTCGCTGGTTTTCTTACTTAGTTGATACTTAACATTGACGAAACACTGTTTTTCTTCGCCACTGAGTACTGTGCGATGACCAATAAACYGTGACGTCACTACAAAGAGCATAGCGCCTCAGTATACTTAAACGCGCTGTAATAACTGTTAAGGTGATCACTAAGATTGAATTAAATACCAAATTTGTCGTTTAAGTACTTGAAGTATCTGCAAAACTGTACATCATAATGTAAACAATTCGTTATGTATCCAAATCAAGCGATGCCGTTATCACTGCCATCACATACAAAAGTTTCTAGATTGTTTGAGATCAACACCCTTCCCGATCGGTCCAAAACCACTTAAAAAATTACGGAAAAGCTGTGGAACAGTTCTTAGAAATGCCTTTCTCATCTCAGATGTTCACATTCTCAGGTTCTAAATGCATTTAGGGTTAAAAAAACATCCTGATTGTGCATATTTCCACGAGACGTGAAAATCAGACAATCGTGGACAAAAGTCCTTGGGACACTTATGTAATGTAACGGATTATCTGTGTTTTAGAACTGAAGTATGAAGAAAACGCTGCTATATCCTTTATAAACGGGTTGCTGTCCCCCCTCCCCACCCAACACAATGTTGAKAATCAGRTGAAATTGCACGTACTAGTTTTCAACATTGTATGGGGGGTGGGGGGCGAGGTTAGGCAGGTGAAGTTGTATTCGCGCCTGGCGTGTACGCAAAAGCGCCAAAAGTACAAATTTGTCCCAAGACTTTTGTCCATGATTGTAGCTAGTCATTCAAAATTGCTACTTACCTACAAAGATCTTTCACTTACAAAATAGTACAAGCGAACTACTTAATATATTATACGGTTCCAGAACATATCCATACCCACCTCAAGGAGTGTTATTAGAAATTCCAAGGGGAAGGAAGGTCTCAAAAACCCAAAATGTTTAAAGGAAGGTAATTGACAGAAATTTAATGGCCCCATGCTTAGCTACTACCTAAACAATGCTCAAGATATCTTGACTCTCTAGAGCTAACCTTTAATATTATTATCATCAATTTATCTGTAGTCCTTGGTCACTGTGGGTGCTGTTTTTGGAAGTCCAGTTGGTGGATGGGCAATTGACAGGTTTGGCAGAAAAGGCACCATAATGTTTTGTGTTGTACCCTTTGAGCTGGGATGGCTACTCATCAGCTATGCGCAGAACCATACCATGCTCTACACTGGCCGTATCATAACAGGATTAGCTTGCGGCATTATATCACTTGCTGTTCCGGTAAGTCTGTACTGAATATAGAGCAATGCCTTGAGTTCTCTATGTTTTGAGCTGCACCTATAGGGGATCATGATGGTAGTTGTAATCCATCAAACACGCTCCAAAATTGAGAACATTGAATGCAAATGCCGGGATTCTCTGCAGTTGTGTCTTGCATCTAGGGAACTGGCCATTGTGCCCAGGGGGGCTACTCTACAAAGTTCTATGCCCTGCCCCAACATCCAACCCCTTATCCTGTTGTATACCATTTTGACAGGAGAGGTGTCCCTTTCGCATACCTTTAGTTGAAAAAAAAGGTGCACATTTCACACACTTTTATAACTGGCCTGTACTGTGAATAAATCCCCAAAAAAGGAAATCTTCTTGTCATTTTCATGCATTGCCTAATAAATGAAATGATACAGCCATAAGGTGCATCTGTTCGAAATACCCTCTCATATACCTCAACTAGTGAAATCCCTACCCTTTTATATACCTGAGGCCTGGAAAAGCTACCCCTTTCAAGCAGAGCCTCCCTATATAGACTATTATAGGGAGTACCCACCCCTCTCCCCTGGCCATTGTGATAAATGACATGGTAACCAAGAGGTGTTGGGAGTAATTTTTCTGTAGTTGTAATTATGAAATTGATGACAGAGAAAATTGTAATTGTTATACAGGGTTGTGAAAGGTAGCCATCCGCCAGCAAAAATCACCACCTTATATATCTTGGCTGGCCTCGTGGCCAGGTTATTTAGACAAAGATGGCAAAATGAGCCACCTACATTGACAGTTAAAGCCAACTACTTTAGAACTTTGTGACAATCCTGAGTATATGCCATCAGAGTTCATTCCTGGACCTTTGAAATGCAAGCAACTTCTGGTTCAATCACAAAACTCCAGGTCAAAAAGTTCATGCAACAGTTCTTGAAAGTGCTCAAGATTCAAAAGAACCAACATAGATTGTACACTGTATAGAATTCTCCAGATCAACTGCAGAACTTGCATGTCTACTGGAAAAGCAACTTAAGTTTATGATCCTTACAGTTTGACAGACTGTATAAGACTTGCTGCAAGAGTGTTATGTATGGTTTGTGCAGATCATCAGAAGGCAGTTTTTGGACTGAAAACTGCATGTCATTCTCTCTACAGGTATAGATACCCAGACTTCATAATTTGGTAAATAAACTATCTTTTTTGTAGGTCTACATAGCAGAGATTGTCGCAGCACGAATGCGTGGTATGCTAGGTTCCGTTAATCAACTGGCAGTGACAGTTGGCCTTTTATTTGCCTATGTAATGGGTGTCCTGTGCAAGTGGAGATGGTTGGCATTTATTGGTGGGGTTTCCCCAGCATTGCTTCTCATTCTGATGTTTACTATGCCAGAGACACCTCGTTGGTCATTAGGAAAGAACAGACGAAGTGAAGCATTGAGAGCCCTGCTTTGGTTAAGAGGCCCTGATGCTGACATCGAAGAAGAGTGCTTTGCCATCGAGGCAACTCTTGGTAAGGCAAATTTTCCATCATTGTTCACAAACCCATTGGTTGTTCAGAGAAGTTTTTTTTCAAAGACCAGAGAATTTACTGTCCGGTCTATGGTAGCGTGCAAGCAGGCTCACCTTTAAGTCATGCACGAGTTGCAGCTTTGCAGCTCGTGCTTAAGCTCCAATGCAAGCCTGCTCACAGGCTAGGTCCATGGAAAATCTTAATAATTTGTAAATTCCTCATCAAAGTTTGAGAGAAGTTAGTGTGTTGCCCTCCTTTTTATTTCGTTTGTTAGATCAGTTTTATCATGGTCAATGTGAGCATCACTGTGAGTGTGTGATGATCTTAGGAGTTGAGCCTTGATTGTCAAAGCTTATCTATATATCGTGACCTTTTCATTTTGCCATTGAAGTGAAAATAATTAACCAACCACTAAAGAGTATTTGATTGATTGACTGATAGATTGATCGATTGATTGGTCCCTCCAGAAATTCCACTTCACAGGGTTCGTACCCTTTTTCAGAAGCAAATTTCCAGGACATTTCCAGGACTTTTCCAGGACTCAGATTGATTTTTCCAGGACTCTAAAATTCACATTAACCCTTTCACTCCCAAGATCTTAATGTTGATTCTCCTTACTGTCTGCCATACATTTCATTTTTTTTTTTACTTGAGTTTAAGAGATTTCCAGAACTTTCCAGGACCAGTAGCCCTTTTCCAGGACTTTCCAGTCCTGGAAAATGCCACAATAAAATTCCAGGACTTTCCAGGTTTTCCAGGACCCGTACGAACCCTGACTTTAGCTTCATATTAGTCTTAAAAAAATTGGCTTTTTGGATATATTCAAATCTTTCCAAACTTTGCCAGATGGCTGTCTCAGGGCTGAAATTTTGGGGTAGGATGAAGGAAGTATCTCATATAATTATACGATGTATATAACCTACATGTGCCATAGGTCCAGCCAGGAGGGAGTAGTGGTACATGTACTATTTATATTTTCTTTGACAAAAAAAAAAAATTGAAAGTGCTTATTGTAGCTACTTTTAATTGATTTTCTTACAGATCGCCATGAAAAACTTCAGTTGCGTGAAGTGTTGTCACCAGTAATAGCAAAACCCCTGATAATTAGCTCTGGTTTAATGGTTGTCCAACAGTTTTGTGGAATTAATGCAGTGCTCTTTAATGCTGCACACATCTTTGCCATTGCCGGCTTTTCAGATGGAAAACTTGTCTCCATTGCAGTGGGCTTGGTTCAGTTTGTTGGAACAGGTCTGGCCTGTTTGCTCATGGACAAGGCAGGACGACGGATTCTGCTGTGGACCACAGCACTCGGGATGTGCGTGTCTCTTTTAGCGCTTGGTGTTTATTTTGAAATCTACATCCCACCACCAACAGATGGGGGTTCAACCAGCGACACAGTTTCCCTGCTGGGTTCCATAAGTCATTCTGTGCCAGCCAAAACAATTTCATGGCTGTCTATCTTGTGTATTGTTCTGTTCAACCTCATATTTGCTCTTGCGTGGGGACCAATCCCATGGCTTGTCATGTCAGAAATATTTCCTCTGAGAGCACGTGGTCCAGCCAGCAGCTTTGCAACTCTGGTTAATTGGACACTGGCCTTTGTTGTGACCAAAACATATGACTCCATGGCAGATACTCTCTCTATTCAAGGAGTCTATTGGTTTTACGCCGGATTTTGTTTTGTGGGATTCATTTTTGTTTACCTTCTTATGCCAGAGACAAAGGGTAAAACCTTAGAGGAGATAGAAGCTTTGTTTGACAAAAAGAAAAAAAATTACCAGGAAATAAGATAAATCAAATTAAGTACTTTCACAAAACAGGGTACACTAGAACATCTGTTATGGACACCTGGACACTGTTTATATGTGGCCCAGACAGTGAGTGCAGTTAATGTTTTAGATGATTCTGCAGAACATTCGAGCAATAATGGCAAAAATTAAGTTACCAAAAAAACCTCATGACATGGTAATGTTTTGAATAAAGGTAGGAAGATCTTATCGAGACCTTAGCTCTCAAGCTGACGCTGCGAGAGAAAATTGAACTTGTAGTTATCCATATTTCTATTAAAACGGACGTTTCACGTTAGTTAAAAACAGTGCAATAACACATGCCTTAAGCATTCTTAAAAGGTTTGGCATTAAATTTCTCAAGAATGCTTGGGGATTTAATCACGGGGTCACCTAGAGAAATGAATTACAGTGAGATGTTGTAAATAGTATTCAAAAATGTACCATGCTATAAGTAGATTTCTAGTAAATAATTTTTGCACTTATTGCGCGAACTTTGAGCAGAATCCATCTTAACCTCTTGCACATGGACACATCACGTCATGGAATATTTCTGTTGCCAAGGGTTTCCACTTATGGATGATTTGATTGTACATTGCATTCAGCGAATGTTACTTTGAACTTTTTAAGGCTTAAATATTGTTAGATATCTCTGAATTCTTTGAAGTAACATTACATTTGTGTAACAGAAAGCACCTAATGTAATATTCCAAAATTTGCTAGGGGAGACTGCCACTTTCTTGAACAAGAGTTTTGGGAGAGAAGTATTAATAGACATACTTTATTTAATACTTGGATTTAATACAAAGTGGTCATTCCAGGGAATTTTATTTTAGTCCTTAGCTTTTTTTTAGCTGCTTTTTTTCACATCTTGGCATTTTTCTTTCTTGAGAGTGATTTTTGCTGATGTCATTGTTTACATTTTTCCTCATTAACATACATCTTTACATAGAGAAGCCAGCATAGTAAATACAAATTGACTCCAAACACATAAAGAGCCAGTGAAATTTAATAGTTGGTAAATTTTTGGGCTCTTTGGTTGAAATATTCATGGAGAAATTGGCTTTTCAAAAGTGCAAAATTTCTGGGTGGCAAGAGCTTAAAATTAATGAGCTCACACATTCTTGGTAATATTCAGAACTCTAAATGCACATTTAATCCTTTAAGCCCCAGTAGGAATACTGTATTTTTCTGACATGGTCACAGCTGTGGACCCGACCAAAAGAAATGTAGTGAAATTTATTGTTTGGGGTATGTCAAAATCACCACAGGATGTCACAGATTGGAAATTGACTAGTGTCCAAAAGGGAAAGAAAAACATTCAAAAACACCTTGTTCCTTGTATGTATTGGGTACATCCCTGAACTATAGTTTAATTTGCAGCTCTTGGTGTGCACTTTTTTGCCAGATATTCACTTGACTGTAAAAGTGTAACTGGCAAAAAGGGGTGGTTAATCAAGTTCTGGTATATGGGGTGGGGGGAGTATGATTTATGCCTCCAGTATGAGGAGCTCAAAGATCTTTTTGGTGGTTGAATTTCATACAAATTGACCAAATATTCAGGTTTTAATAGTGCAATTTTTTGTGCCGTTTGGCAAATTTATTCATCTCTACTTCTATACAATTTTGGGAGTGAAAGTGGTGGATAGATTTATCCAGTTTAATAAAAATTACATTATTTTAGCATGACAAACAGTATTTATTTACTAGTGATAGTAACCTAATGATAAAATTGTTGGCAGGCAGGCTGTGACAGTGGAACTAAATATTAAGTTTTAGTTACTGCACGGTATCCAGCCTTAAATATATTACACTTACGATTACTGGTCTCAAGGAGAATGGTTAGTTTTGTTTTCCCAGGAATCTTTGATGTTTCCTGAGGGGAAGTCTGGGGAAACAGAGAGATTAGAGGGAAAACAAAATCAGCTGGAACAAAGGAACAGTTATTGTTCTGTTATATAGATGGAGTTTTAAGCGTAAAGTAATAAGGCAAGAAGAATTTCCCCCATGGGCAGATCTAGGGGCAGGGGGTAGGGCATGTGCACCCCCTGAGATGAAGCCTTCTGCTGCATATTTGCGTTAAAAATTTGTTTACCTCACCATTAAGGAGTGGCATAACTGACTGGTGCACCCCCTCCTAAGAAAATCCTGGATCGGCCCCTGACCGAAGTCACAATAACCCCTAGTTAGTGGGAGACGAGGTGACAATATTGCTTAAGTTGTGGCCTGCCAGGTGACATTTTAGAATTTGCCACATGACCATAAATCAACCAATAAGAGTTTGTTAGAGTCAACAGAACTCCAACTATGTAACAATAAATTATTAGATTTGTTACACTTGTGAGCAAAAGGTGGATGACTATGGTAGAAATTATTTTCAGTATAAATACAGTACATTAAATGATGTATTTCTGTTGTACCATATTTTTACATGTGAAAATTGTAATTCAAAATCATGTAGCATTACACATTATAGTGTACTGTTCAACTGCTGTCAATTACAGTTTTGTTTCACAATGGCAAGGCAAGTTTCACAAATCTTAATTGAAGTGTTACGTACTAAGAGTAGGTAAGAGCAATTTACTCTGCGGGGGGGGGGNCAGGGGGAAAGAGGGGTTACTCTCTATAATGGCCTATACAGGGAGGCTCTGCCTGCCAGAAAGGGGTATCATGTTCAGGCTTCAGGTATATAAATGGGTAGGGATTTCAGAAGTGGAGGTATATGAAAGGGTAGGGAAGTCTGTCATTTACTGGTAGATATCTTAAATAACCTTTAATTAAAATATTTTGAACAGATGGCTGTATCATTTCATTTATTAGGTGCTACACGAAAGTGACAAGAAAACTTCCTTTTATGGCCATTTATTCGTAAAAGGGGCCAGTTGTGAGAATATTGAAAGGGGTACCTTTTTTTCAATTTAAGGGATACAAAAGGGGTACATTAATTTTCTGTCAAATTGGTATACAAAAGGGTAAAGGGTTGGACCTTGGGGCGGAGCCTCCATATAGAACTTTGTAGTTTACTGCAGCATTCACGGTAATTGTTGAGATATTAATAGTCACCCTTTTGCTTTTGAAGATTCTAGCACATAGCACCCAGTTGCTATAAATGATGATAATAACTCAACTGCAACTAACATGTAGACATGTACGTAAATTAATACACCAATCCATACAATCCTAAATCCTTCGTCAAACATAGACTTATTGTGCAAGTTCATAAACATGTGAACGTGCTTTATTTTCATACAGTAGAAAAGCCACATTAAAAAACTACTACTTTTAAAAAAGAAGGCGCGGTGGCCTTATGGTTAGTACATTCAACTCCCACGGAGCTAGCGGTCCAGGTTCGAGCCCTGGCTGGGGACATTGTGTTGTGTTCTTGGGCCAGACACTTAACTCCCACAGTGCCTCATTCCACTGCAGGTGTACAAAGGGGTATTGGTAAATTTAATGCTGGGGGTAACCCTGTGATGGACCAGCATCCCATCTAGGAAGAAGTAGAAATACTCCTAATCGCTTCATGCTACTGAAACCAGGATTAACTCTGGCCTGATAAGCCACTTGGCTTGTATGCAGACTTAACCCACCTACCTACTTTTCAAAAGCAGGCTAAAATGATTCTGATAATTATAGGATGTTTAGCAAGAAATCAGGATACAGCTTGCTGCTTGCCGTAAATTAACTTTAAATTAATACGATATGCAGTATCCCTGTGATTCCATTACATAAACACCAACGGCATTTATTGTTGCATGGGCAAAATTAAGAAATTAACCCTCTGATAAGACAACAAACTAAAGTATACATATAATTTACAACCTATGTGCAAGCTACATCTTTTTTTATTTCTTTCTACAACAACGAAAAACAGAGCTCTTCATTTGTCCGGCTGACTGAAGTGGTTCTTGTCCATTGGGGGTCTAATTTGCCAATTTCCAGCTGGTAGATTCACAATCCATGGTTTCATAAGGTGTTTACTGTATTTTCCTTTACTCAGTCCCATCTACTGTTGTATAAACAATTTGATGGATTACATGTAGGCTATTTTCCATATTTATAATCCATTAAAGGCCATAGTCAACAGGCCAAAAGAACTTTTCAAAGAACTTTTGAGACATGGTGATTGCACGACTTGCAATCACCATGTCTCATTTTTAAGCAATGTTAAGCAATTTTTCCTGCATCTTGCATTGCAATAAAATTGAGTCTCATTTGTTTAAAAAATTCACAGTAACAGCACTTCGTCACTCTCTTTTTAAGTTCATTACTTGTTCAAGTTCTTTCTCCACTTGCCGCAAATATCGGTTGTTCATGAACAGCAGCTGAAAGGGAATCAACAAATACAAAATTTCATTTTGTGGTTGAGGTCATTCATTTTGGTCCCCAGCTATTTTAGCTTGACAGTTACATGACAAATCACACTCCCAGAAATTGGTGGCTGAAAATTGAGGAGGATCATAGGTTGAGTAAAATCAAAATGTATTTCATCCTTTGCCTTGTAAAGGCATTTGCACTGTCAATGAGCCATTACTAACATTTCAGTTTGTGGAGGAAACTCTTTTGCGAGAGTCTTGAGCAGTACTTTGACATTCACAATTCACAAGGTATCGTTTACAATGCTGTAAAAAGTGGTTTAGTGTGTGGATGAAACCCTACTGTGTGTGGCTATTGCCAAGTTGGACAATCAGCTGCCCTTTTGTACAGAAACCTTAGAGGCCGCAATCCTTTCAGTCAGCACCAAATATCAAGACAGGCAAGTTCTGATTAATTTTTGACAGTGTGAAGTGATTCACAGACTTCACCTCAAATTGGACTGGCTGAAGAAAAGAACACAATTCTTTCTTTGCACCTGCTTAAAGCAAATCACATCTTCAAGTCTTGATTCTTCCCACTGACCGAAAGTCTTATAATTGATTGCAGGCCCTCAGGGGGTGAGAATACAGTCGCACCTCCACTAACGGCCAACTCTCTTCAACAACCACCTCTCTACAAAGGCCACTTTTTTGGTCCAGTTCGACAGTCCATACATGCACTTTTATTTTAACCTCTACAACACCCACCTCCACAACGGCAATGGCCACCAAAACGTGTCCTGACTGCCAAAAGAACCTCTCTACAATGGCCAATTAATCAGTGACTGACGAATGGTGTATACAAAACCTCATTTCTATTGTTAAAGGTCACCAAACTTGATCTGTGCCATGCATCGTTGGTCTGTGTTTCTGTTTAGTTTCTTTTTATTGACATGCTTTGATTGTACTATGTGCAGTTTAAACGCTAAAATAAGCATTTTAAGAAAAGAAATGTTTCACCCCCACAAAAAAAAACGGGTGTCGTGTTATACCCCTACCTTCCCATAATGGCGACCTCCCTACAATGGCTCCTTTCCTCTGTCTGCAAGGTGGCTGTTGTAGAGAGGTTCGACAGTGTATGCCAAAGGTACATGTACATGCACCACCCAGGGGAACTTCCATATGAAAAGGTTGAGGATGCTCGTCGCAAAATTTAAATTAAACCCCTAAAGGAGATCAACCTGGGTGTGGCTCGAGCTTTATTTGACTCCTGAAAGATAGGCTCAACAGAATAAGAATTACCATCAGTTATTCCAGGAAAGAGCCCAGCCTTGTAGACCGGACTCAAGAGACCAGTGGAAATCAAGCCTAAAAATGGCCTTCAAGTGCACCGTAACACCCTAAAGATACTTCAACAGCTAAAAATAGTGGTATCTCCTCATCAACATGCTAGCAACCTCAACCTTTTCATGAGTCCCACCCTACTGGGATGCAAACCACCACAGATACTGATCATAAAACAGTTACTTTGTTCAATTTCCTGTAATAAAAAATCTATCCTTAGACATTAAATGTCATTTACCTGACCATTTGGTAGCAACTGGTGGACTATAGCAGCAACCTTGTCCACCTTAAGAATGGCCTACAGCAAACTCAAATAAATTAATAAATTAACGAACACAGCTGAGCACAGAAATAATAACAATTTAAAATAATATTAAATTGGCACTCTGTATGCACATCTCTTTTCATGCCTTGCAATCAAAACTGCAAAATTTGCCACAAAATTACAAGTAATACAAGATTTATAAATTCAGTTGCAGCACTTGCGATAAACTAATTTTTGATCAATTGAATAACAGACTGATAAGATATGCAATAATACTTTTGAATTTTGAAAGTCCATTGATGTGAATTGGACTTCTGGAGATTGAAAGTCAGCAAAAATCCAAGATGATGCCAAAAACTGTGGAAAGGTCTACTCACTGAAACAATCAATTCTAGTTCCCTTCCAATACTATACTGCATTGGAAAAATTAAAGTCCAAAAAACTCTGCAGGACTTATTAGAAAAGTCTTCCCTTTTCATGTGACATAAATAAAATAAATAAATAAATAAATAAATGAATATACATTTATATAGTGCCATTTTCCACTAATTGTCCATGGCGCTTTACAATACTTTAAAATTGAAATCCTGAGTTTAAAATCCTATGACACAGTGCTGCCCATCTTGCACTTGCTTTGCAAATTCTTTACAGTCAAAAGCTCAAAAACACTTGACGCAAGGAGTAAATGAACCTGTAGAATATCCAGAACATTACAAAAACTGTGATAATAACTCTGCCTATTAAGCTCCTGATCATAATCACCTTCAAACACTCCTTTCTAATGGCTCAGCATGGTTTTCACTTGAGCGAAGGAGTCACAGTCAAAGTTGTAATCAGAGCCTGGCACAGAGTGATATGATCTAGTGAACATCACACCAATGGATTCAAAAGCAGAATACCAATTCTGCTTATTACTTGGAAGCAGAAGTGAAAGATAGAAGAATGAAAGTTTTTGTAATGTTGGACATCTATTACCATAGAAGTGAAAGAATAAACCAATCACACTGCTTGATTACAGGCCTTTTGATTGCTTGGTTCTTCCACTTCTGCTTCCGACTCCGATAATCTAGTTTTCACTAGATCATAAGCAATGGAGTCTTAAACAGAATCAGAAGAAAATGGAAACATTCTGATTCTTCCAACCCTGATCTGTCAAGCTTATGATTCAGCTTGTGACTCCAATTATTGATTTTCACTAGGTCATAAGCACTCTAAATGACTCTCACTACACCTCTGACTCCATCACTAGTGAAAGCTCCCCTCTGGAACTTTCATTCTTTTCGTTATAAGCCCCCCTCTGAAAGCGCAATCCTCTTCCCATTCTCTACGCCCCTTATTATTGATACAGGTAATGACCATGACCAGGTAATTACCACTGACAGACATTTTCCTGGTTTGTCATACCTCTGCTTATAGGTAATGACTATACCTCCCCCCGCTCTGTTACCACAGAAGTTTTTCTGGTTTGTCATACCTCTGACGGCTGAAGGATGACTTGACAGTATTCTTGAAGATGTCTGATAAGGAGATCTAAAATGTTCTCGGCAATTAGCCGGTTTTCATTCTTTTCACACACAAGAGTAAATCCTGAACTTAAAAACAAAAAGATATTTAGATGATAATTACAACATGTTCTACAGTAACTTCATTGTTTGTACACTGTACTTTGCTCTTGCTTTTGCAATTACTTAATAATTAACCTGAGTAATACTTCCATCAGCCTGAGAATCATTCACCTTTGAATTGATTTCATTTCTAGGCATGACCAACACAATAAGATGATTATGTCAAATATGCTTTCAAAATGTTATGGTCAAAATTAGAGTACATTTATTCTTCCCAACTAGGTAAACACCGATCATTATTATTTTATTACATGTATTTGATTAATATATTATTACAGTAAAATTATTTAATAATTAGTTTTCATAGAAACTGGACAAAAAATGACTATATCTTGAAGCTCTGACATGATTCGAGGTTCAAATTCACACACGAAATCTCACATTAAACCAACAAAAGGTACACTCTCTTTTACTGTAAGAAGATGCAAGTTAGACAAACTTGTAAATGGCACATAAAAATGGTCTTTTAACCGTAAATGACCAAGTAATAATAATAATAATAATTTATGAAAAAGAGGAGTGTTTATTGTGACAAAAACTAGAGCTAAGCTTTACAAAATGCTATAATATTTACATAATTTGATGTCTATTAAACCTGTAAAACATGTTTCCGTATCTAATCATGATATCATGG